CGAAGGGTATCTGGACAAGCTATCGTGGTCGAAGACGACGAGGAGCCGCCGTTCATGAACGGCCCTGCGTCGCCCACGTCTCCGCGAGACCAGTCGGCGTTTGCGTCAACAAAAGCTAGGGAGGCAGCCGAGCGCGCCATGTCGCCGTCCAACGAGCCCGCGCCTCCGCCGTATGCTATCTCCGGACCGTCACGGCCGATGCAGTATGCGCTGTCTCCGCCACCACAGCAGGGACCGCCACTGCTGCGCACCCGCTCGACGAACCAGCCGCCTGTGGACCCTGCCTCCCGTCAATCGCTCTTCATGCCTCACCCTCACGCACCAAAACCAGCGCAAGTGCCTGCGGGACCGATGTATGGTCGTCAGCCTGCTCCCTTCCAGCCGCCCCAGCAGTACAACGGCCCACCACCTAACTCCGCCATCCAGATCATACACCTTGCTGAGCCAACAGCAGCAGGGAAGACGGCCCGGTGGCGCGTCGACGATCTACGCACGGTTCGACAGGGATCTCATTACCTCCACTGGACCGGTGCCGATTTCGTTCACGTTGGAGCCTCAGATGAACATCCCGGCGAACAGACCGGTTATGTACAACCACGGTCCTGGTAGCCGGGCGGGATCGCCTGCAGCAGGAATTTCACGCGTCGGAACGCCGCTAGATCCCTCTCCGTACGACGTAGCCGCAACTATGGCTCAAGGTTCAAGTCTGGCGAGGTCAGCGACGGCCTCACCTGGAGTCGCTGGTTTGGTTCGCACGGCTTCTTCTGGTGTTGGCTCAATCTGGCACGGTCTGCGACGGCGTCACCGAAACCTGTCAATTCCCCTCCCCAAGTACAGGGCGAGTTTGGGCGTCCAGACTCGGTCAGCAGTGGTAAGGCCATACCAAGGCCCAACTTCTTCCCTAAATCAGGCACGCCTCGGCCTCGCTCGCGCTCCTTCTCGGGGTTCGACTCACCGATCGCAGAGGTAGTCATGCCCGAAGGAAACAGGTGAGTGTCTTCGCATGCGTCTGTATGAGGGGGTTAACGTCCGTCAGTTCCAAGGACGGGCCGTCGGCTGCCCAGCTGTCATCTGTTGCACTCGTCACCAAAAGGTCGAAATCTGCTACTGCTACACCCGCAGCAGCGACTTCTCCAGTATCGTGCCTACACCTCAACGGGCTACGCTCTCGCATACGTCCTCCGTTGTCAGAGGTGTCCAAAGACCCTCTCCTCTGTCCCTATCTCAGAACAACGTCGTGGCAGGCTCTGCCTCTCCTGCGTCTGCCAATGCACCGTTCGCGGGGCGTCCTATGCTGATCCCTGCTGCATCCTCAGCTCCGGGTTCGCCTGTCTCCCGAGCGACCTTCGATCGCAACGGAACAACCAGTCCGCTCCAGCAACGGGATGTCCCGACAGGAGGTTCGTCCGTTCGTCACCAATCGACGGCGACCCTAAAGTCTGAACATTCAGCATCTCCATCTAGCCCTCCATCGTCTCCAAGGTCTCCTGCATCGCCGCGATCATCATTTCCAGTAATACGACACAGTCGGTCGTCTATTCTGCCGGGCACCAAGACTGCGCGGGGGGACCCGGCACTCCCACCCTCGCCCCGTGCGCAGGTCGCCCCGGGGCGCTCATCTATAGAGAGCAGTAACACACCACCACGTCCATCTGTGGAGAGCAGTGCGTCGCGCCAGTCGGCAGACAGCATCGGCTTGCGCCGCCCATCCCAGTTATCAATGGCAATGAAAGTTTCTTCACACCCCCCTGATGTGTCGGAATCCAGCTCTGGCTTGTCGGCGCGTGTCCCATCGCTGCGGTCCGCAGTATCCTCATCCGGCTTGCGCGTGCAGATGCCGAGTGAGCGTCCGCTATTGCAACCCAGCGAGCGCAGCCCGGCATCCAGCGTGTTCTCATTTGAGACACCTGTTGAACAGAAAGTACACGTGTCCGTCAAGGACATGGACTTTGAGTTGGTTGCCCCGGCGGTGCCGCGCTCGCCATTGGCGACAAGCAGCGCGGACTCCTTGCTCGCACCGCCTGCCAATGCGGATGCCAAGAGCGTAATCGATGCAAGCCCCCTAAGCATGAGGCGGCCGTCGTCCGACAAATCGGGAGAAGACAGAGTTGCCAAGGTAACCGATGCTGCGGAGATCGAGGCGCACCGTCAACGAGAGCTGAGATGGATCTCTGCATTGACCTCGACATCTCCGTCCCAGGCACGCAAGGCGAAGCGCATCCGGAAGTTGGTCCTTGAGGGCGTTCCGGCGTCTGTGCGTTATCAGGTGTGGGCGCTCCTCACCGACAGCAAGGCGAAGCGGATGGAGGGGTTATATGCACGGCTAGGCCAAAGGGAGAGAGTTGCACCCATCTCCAACATCGAACAGGATGCGCAACGTATTTTCCATGATCAGCCGTTGCTCGACCAGTCACTCGTTAACGTTCTCCAGGCTTACCTGACGATGGTACCAGACGTGCAGTACACGAAGGGGCTCGCTATGATCGCTGGCCAGCTTATACTGCAGTCTCCCGAGGAGGATGCGTTCTGGACATTTGTGACGATGATGGACTCACATATCCGTCCCTACTACTCCCCGCAGCCGATCCTGCTAGACATCGACTCTTCATTGTTCTCGAAGGCAATGGAGAACAACGACGCTCCGCTGGCTCAGAGGATCCTTGTGGAGATGGCGATACCCCCCATCTGCATATGCCGACCGTGGTACGCACGGTGTTAATCAGTTTCGTGGGATTGCTGACTGACGACAATTGTCATCAGGTTCACTGCGCTATTTGCGGACGCGTTTCCCACCGATCTCCTCCTTCGCGTCTGGGATGTCTTCTTGTTCGAAGGTATGTTGCTTCTGGAATTGATCGGATGCCGAGTACGCCGAGCTCACAACATCCGTAGGGGTTTCTTTCCTCTTCCGCGTAGGTCTGGCCGTCATTTCAAGCTGTCGCCAGTCGCTCCTACAGTGCCGAGGCCAAGAGTCGTTGCTTGCCATCCTCGCGCACCCTCCACCGCATTGCCTACCGCCCACTCCGGATGCCTTCATCGAACTAGCCTTCTCCGTTAAACTCCGGGACGAGGATATTTATAAGCAGCGCAATAAACTCGAGGCGCAACTCAAGCGCCAGGTGCAAGCTCGTTCTCAGTTATCTGCCTCTAGAGTCTCGACGCCAACTATCTCATTGCCGCGCAGCTGAACATCGCTCATGGACGTGTGTTGTGTATACCCCGCTCGTTACAATAGACCTAAAGGTAATATACTGTCGCAGTCGCTCAATGTGCTATCATAGTGTTATGTCGCTTCCACTACAATTGTCCGCTCTTCCGTTCCACTCAGAGTATGCCATGACGTATATACATGTTATTGATCATGACCATCCACTCACGGTTTATCCTGTTTGACCCCCATGCATATAGATTGCAGTTGTCGTTTCTTCACGGCCTTTACAGCGTGTACCACCTGCCTTCGCAGCTTTGTGTGACGCCACCGGCATCTATGAGTCCCGTGCCAAGTAACGACGACGATAGGCGTCGCAAATGATTCGACCTCAGTGGCATCGCGGACATCGCGTCGTAACAGGCTTCCGACGCACTTTGGAAGAGGGTTGGTAAGCAGCTATCCGCCGATCCTTGATTGTCCAGCCGCTAACGTCAATGAACTGTTTGAACTCGCTCGTACCTCGGCTTTCAGACAGTGAGCATTCTGCTCGACCGTAGTGCGGGTATCCTCGGCCTATTCAATAGCAGTTTACATCACACAGATACTCCCGACACTTTGCACGAATATGCAGGAAATTCTCATCCTATCGCTTCGTAGACGTTTGAACCATTGCACCTACCCGACCGCTGACTCGCTACACTGATTCCCTACTCGAGGACTAACTCTGGCTGCCGGGACCAATGACGGCCCAGGCTCGTGACCAAGCCACCAGTGGGAAATCTCGAGGTCGTGTGCATTCGCAGGAACGCACCTCCTCCTGCGTCCGAGCGAGATAACGGACCGTGGTACGTACGCATGCTCAGGCTATTTGTGGACAGTCTTCAAGGAGGCATAAAAGGTCTACCTATCGTATCTGCGAGGGTCGAGGACGTCGCTTGGACCACCTCGAATGCCTGCGGCTCTGCTCCGACCTTCGAAGATGCTGCCCTCCATGCGAGCTTGGTTCCTTGCCTGTTTTCTTGCGCTCGTCACACTGCAGGCGGCCGTACTCGCAGCGCGGCTGTCTGCTAGGTCTCTCTTGCCCGAGAAACGCATAGCTATCAGGGAATCCCTGCCGGATCTGTACGAGGCATCAGTTGTTGAACTGCAAGTACGTCGCGTCATTTTGACTTGCCACGAGTTCTAAGTCAAAGATACTGTAGGCTGGTCTGCAATCCGGATTATTCACTAGCGTAGACCTTGTCAATGTGAGTGCATGTGTCGTTCGAATTGTATGGTCCCACATATATGTCGTAGGCCTATTTCGCGCGCATCGAGGAAGTCAATCTGCAGGGCCCAATACTCCGTGCTGTCATCGAGACGAACCCATCTGCGCTAGCGCAGGCGGCCGCTCTGGACGCAGAGCGGCTCGAGACCGGTCCCCGCAGCTTGCTACATGGCATACCGGTGCTGGTGAAGGATAATATGCTACGATTGCCTCCGAGGGTAAGGCAGGACAGAACGGTCGTCCAGTTGCACAGACTATAGCTGAACATGAGATATGCAGGATGAACACAACGGCTGGATCGTACAGTCTGCTTGGCTCTGTTGTCCCCGCTGAAGCTGGTGTCATCACAAAGCTTCGCGCCGCCGGAGCGATATTCTAGGTAAGTATCATCCGCATGTTTTGTATGGTGCCCACGACGACTTGCAGGCAAGGCAACTTGTCTGAGTTCGCCCATTTCCGAGGCAACCTGGCTCGGGCTGGTCCGGCAGGGGCGGTCAATGCACGAATGCATACTTCCCTCATGCCGACCCCGTACGTTCCTCTCTGAGCCGTCTAGTGTGGAGAAAGGCTTACATCGACAGTGTGGTTCGTCTGCGGGCTCTGCGTCGCTGCATCCATCGGACTGGCAGCGGTTACCCTCGGTACTGAAACAGACGGAAGTATCACCTGCCCCGCAAACCAAAATAACCTCGCGGGAATCAAGCCGTCAGTAGGGCTCACGTCTCGTGCAGGAGGTTCGTCATGTCCATCCGTCTCCAGTCCTGCCATGCGGCCTTTGACTCGTATCTTCGTTTGTCCGGCTAGTCATCCCTATCTCCGAACACCAGGACACCGTCGGACCCCTAACGCGCTCCATGGCCGACGCCGCAATCGTGCTCTCCGTCATAGCAGGCCGGACCCGAACGACAACTTCACGCTCGCTCAGCCGTCCCCCGTCCCGACTACACGCTCGCGCTCGACCGGAACGCGTTCGCGGGCAAACGCATCGGCGTCCCTCGCGCGGTGTTCTTGAACGACTCGATCACGGGGAACGACCCGTACGTGAATGAGGTGTTCGAGGCTGCGTTGGAGGTTATGAAGGCCCTTGGCGCGACGGTGGTGGACCCGGCAGACTTGCCGAGTGCAGAAGCGATTGCGACGTCGAATAATGAGTCGACAGTGCTGGATACGGATTTCAAGGTCTGTCTCCTCGAGCGTGAGGTCTTGATGTACTGATGGGATACGTGGATTTCGCAGATCCAACTCAATGCGTGGTATGAGGGGTTGCTGTCCAACCCATCCGGTGTGCGGTCTCTCGCCGAGCTCATTGCCTTCGACAACGCCAATCCAACTCTGGAAGAGCCTGCAAGGTACACAGACCAGTCGGAGTGAGTCTTCATCACTTTTTAGTGCCAACGTTCCCTGCGAATTGATGGTCCTCATACCTACGCTAGGCTCATTGCCTCCGAAGCAACGACTGGGTTCAACTCAACATACTATGCGGCGCTCGCGTACGACTATGAGATGGGACGGACGAACGGGATCGACGCAGCGCTGGAGATGTACGACCTCGACGCATTGGTTCTCCCCGCGCCAGGCTTCACCACCGTCCCCGCAGGTAAGTGACTGTTCATACGCGTCCATTGTGCTGTATAGCTTGACACCGAATATTGCAGCCATAGCCGGGTACCCGATCGTGACCGGTACGTCGCCTCGGTCGCTCTTCGCACATTAGTAGTGCTGACCCCAACTTCAGTCCCGCTTGGCTTCTATCCCGACAACATCACGATTGGCCTCGCGGGACCGGAGACAGTGTATCCCGCTCCTGGCGTCCCTATCGGCCTGTCCTTCCTCGGTACGGCTTGGAGTGAGTTTGACCTAGTATCGTATGCGTATGCATATGAGCAGCACACGCACACACGTCTCGCGAGGAAGGCGTACGCCGAGGCCATCCCGACAACGCAGTTGTGGGATGTCATTTACGGGGCCTAGGCATATGCTGGCGGGGGACATCGGCGTCGTGGTATCGGATAGGCAGTCTGTCAAAAGACGTTCCAAACGGATGAGTAAAACAGTACTGTTATCCGAAATGATAAGTGTTCGCAGCGAATCTCTTTTTGGCAAGATTAGTATCAGGAACGCTTTCGCCACGATGTCTTCGCGTGCTGCTGTGGGTCCATAGCCAGCGGTCCATGCATGTGGTGATCATAACATAACGTTCATGGAGATCGTTCGATCAAGTGATGATCGAAGCGAGTGTTCATACGAGCTACCACACAGATCAACAGACGACACCGTATGCCTGAATCGGACGTGGAAACCAGGCGCACGTACGTATATGCGGGGGATATCGTTGTTGCCTTCATGTGGAAAAGCGATGCTGTGAACCAATGAAGGACGGAATCTACCGTTGGCCCGTCTCATGCCCCGCTGATCGCAGAATCGGACAATCATGCTGTTACTTGCTGACAGCAGGCGCAGCCAGCCATGGGTCGTCAACGAGCTCTTTCGCCGTGGCCCTCCGCTCTGGTGCAAGTTGCAGACACCGCTTCAGGAAGGCTTCAGCCGCATCGACTTCGTCACCGAGCTCCGAAAACGACTCCAGCAGCTTGCGCAAAGGCCACGTAGGCTCCTCGTGATCCGTAAAATGCGCGAATGTTCCTAATCAAAATCGAAGGGAGGTCATAGTATGCTACAGCACCGCAGAGGAGTGACATACCATCCTGCTTGAAGTATTTGTCTCGATGCTTACAATTCTCCAGTGTAGACGCTTCAAACTGGGCATCAAGAGCTTCAGTCATCCGAGCTAGATGGTCCTCCTCGTAGCTCCACAATCTTTCGCGATTGGGTTCGAAGAGCCAGAATCCGACAAGCCATTCGGTGACCTGCCCAATGCGAAGGTTAAAGTCACGTTCGAAACATGACTGCATGGAACGGAGCCTTACGAGGCAGCCCACGCTCCATATATCCGCAGGAGTGCTCCAGGGATGGCCGAGAATAACTTCGGGTGCCCGGAGGGCGTCGGGCTGGATGAGCTCCTGAAAATGGTGCTCGATCCAGTGCGCTGCATGCCGATGGTATCTCAGCGCGGTCCTTCCATTCGAGAACTGCATTAGCAAACTCACAGTGGCCAACGTCGGCGAGTACGACGTCGAGGTCCCGTTCATGAATGGAGGCATCGACGGACAAGGGCAACACTTGCGAGACGACTGGAACGACTGAGGCGTTGCCCTCGGTTCCACAGTCGTACGTGACTGACGGGTTCTCGGCGAGTTCGTGCGCGACGATGGTGCATAGATCCCGCGGGCGGAAGAGGATGTTGTCGTTCTTGAGATCTGAGAGCTTACACCGTCAACGTGCGCTGTACCGCATCTCATTGCTTCCATACCTGTATGGACTATACCGCACACATCATGCAGATACTCCAAGCCGAGCAAGACTTGCCGTACCACTCGCTTGACTATGCTGGGCGCAACGCGACGATCGTTATCGTCACGCAGCTTGCGGATATAGTCGACGCCATATCCGAGGGCCTCTGTAACGAGACAACGGTGAAGTCCATGTGTACCCCTGATGTCGAAGGCATTCAAGTAGGCGAGGTTATGGCGATAGCCTCGGTGAGCGTGGTCGGCGTTTGCGATCTTCTCTAGCATGCGCTGTTCGTCTGACCTTTGGTCAGGACCGGCCGACAAGGCTTTGGTAGCTTCGCAGGTCAATATCTTGAGCGCGACAAAGCTATCTTGGCTGCTTTCAGAGGTCAGCGGATTATACATCGAGAGAACTCCAACGAGGCGCCTACCCGCGATCCCTTGCAAGCCAGACACTGGAGTATTGGCCCCAGCCGAGCTTGCGTACGATGCAATAGCGACCTCGTTCTAATCGCTGCCCTAATCTCGCAGCAAAATAGCCAGGATTGTCGCGACCGCCTTCCCTCAAGTCCTCCTCTGGAAAGCCACTAACGGAGCCCGCTGAGCTAGAAATGCTGCTGTGAGCGGGAGAAGTTGACATGCCACGGTGCGTGAGGAATGGTGGTGAACTGGAGAAAGCAAGGCAGTGTACAAGTCGGGATGACGGACGGACGAAGTGTGTATACTCAGGCCGCCCGTGCGCTCTAGTGAGGTGCAATAAGGTAGACGTGTTCAGTCTAGGCAGCATTAGGCTATTGCATGGCGCACACGACCAAGTCACAGCGATCCTCAGAACGACGGTCGCGGTCGCGGTTCAAGTCGATCGCCTCAAGCTTCAAGATCAAGTCTCTGCGGCTACGCCACTGGCCTGTGCTACTGTACAGAAACCGGCGCGCGTAGACTCGGAGAACAGATGCAGGTCGAGAACAAAGTCGACTCCAGTACTGAAGACACTGGCCGGTAATGATAAACACATTTGAGACGATTTGACTCACTCTCGGTCCACGCCGTAAGCACCACAATGCCATGGGTGGCTGCTGCTTGTCTCCTACAACAGAACACTTACCATTCCCACCGACCGAGCCACCGTCTCAGACGTCTTTACCCTCGGGATGCTTCACGAATGCATGCCGCTCGGGAAGTTCGAACCTAAATCCTGGTACGAGGATATTTGAACTGTTACACGTGCGAAGTATGCCCCCGAGCTTCTCGCATTGCATCAATCGTCCGTTGTCGCTGACCAAGCTCAAAGCCCCGTATCGTGATGCCTCCAACGACTTACTGCTGAAGCGCAATGCGGCCCTGCAATTGACAGAGCAGGCCCTGGCGACATATTTGTCGCGAACCATATGCTGCGTGTTGCGATCGAAGTAGCATACAGCGAGAGCATGGGGGAAAGAGACGACATAACGCGACCGACATGGAATACACTATGCGAGGGGTTTTGTCGGGCGCCTCGATGCGCGTGCAGTGGAGGGCGTCCGGTGAACAGGGAGATTTTACCGCCCAGCGCCCGGCACGTTGCGGCGGTCTCGCCGGGGGCCGCGATCGGGGACCGCGATGACGGGCACGACCACGTTGACAGCAACGGAGTCGAAGTTGAGGGAGCGCAGGAGATCCTACAAAGTGAGGGCGAGTGAGTCAAGGGATGCGGTTGTACGGACGGGACCGTATGCAAGGTGAAGGACCAAACGCACCTTGGTGTCAGGGTCGACCTCGAGGCCGTTGACGGAGGTGTCGAGGGCGGAGACCTCAGGGACGTAGTTGTCCTTGCGCTCACGCTCCTCCTCCTGGAGCTTGAAGGAAATGCCGCGGACGGGACCCTTCTGGATACGCTTCATCAAGTGGGTCGTGAAGCCAGCGACCTTGTTGCGGAGGCGTTTCGAGGGAACGTCAGCCTATAAGATCGCTTCAGCACCAAGTCCTAGCTCGAGTTTATGTGTACGCACAACTTCATCGATGATACGCTTGTTCGTGTGGAAGTCAAGCGTGAGACGCGGGTAGCTGGCGGGCAACGATGAGCCTCTGAAATCGCCGTTACGACGAACGCATGTACTGACTACTTCTCGATGAGCACCCGGGAGGCCCTCTTGGTGGTCTTCGTGCGAACGCGGCCCTGCACACAGCATACACGGTCAGAATGCGGAAGCGCGGGGAGACGAGCGAGCAGACCATGTTGGATGATGAGGAGGCTAGAGAGGGCGGAGATGACTTGCGGGTTGCTGGGCTTGCGGCTGGGCTTGCTGGCTGAGGGATGCTCGCCGACGACCGACACAGCGAAAGTGAATGCCGGCAACGCCCGGGTGGCTGCGAGGAACTGTACAGCTGCAGCCACAGCCGCTCGCCCCTGCGCGCCTACTGAGACTTGGACGCCCTCCTCGCTTGCCGCCGCCGCCCTCCTCAAGACCCTCCAAGGTGAATACGCTCTCCTCGCTGCTACGCGCGAGCAGAAGAGCACTGGTCGATTGAACCCGCGCGGTCCCTCCGCAGCCTGTCTTCGCCGAAGCTCGTCTTGACTCGTGCTTTCCGTAGCGCGACACTCGGACGAGCGTGTATAGCTTACTCCAGGTCTTTTCTCTTCGCTTTTAGCTCCGGCTCTTCACCGTCTCTCTCGTCTGCCCACCATGGTCCGCGTCTCTGTTTTGGTGCGTCGTCTCTTTCTGCGACTTTGCTTGCGTAGCTTTGGTGGTAACATGAGAATGATGGCATGTTAGAACGACTGCCTGGTGAGTTCAGTTCATAAGTCACAATTTGGGCTAGAGCCTTACACTGTTCCGCAGAACAACATTGTCAACGCCGAGCGGCGGGGCAAGCGCCAGGTCCTCGTCCGACCTTCCTCCAAGGTCATCGTCAAGTTCCTCAGCGTCATGCAGCGTCACGGTGAGTCTCCGTCCCTTACCACCGCCACCTTTCGGCTGCGAATCCTCGGGGTGATAACTACAGTTGACGAGGTCGTGCCTCCACCTGTCTGCTGTTTTAACGCTCCGAGACATCAACGAGCTGTCTGTACATACAACGCACGTCCGGCTCATTCCCACCGGACGTCTGTTCACTTCAGAGACTACATTCTATACGGATTACAGCAAATGCACGGGGTCATATGCTGATGATGTCGGTTTCGTTTTACAGGCTACATCGGCGAGTTCGAGATCGTCGACGACCACCGCTCCGGCAAGATCGTTATCCAGCTCAACGGCCGGCTGAATAAGACGGGTGTCATCTCTCCCCGCTACAACATCCAGGCACCCCAGATTGAGTCGTGGGTGAACTTGCTCCTGCCTGCTCGTGGCTTCGGCATCATCATCCTCGTAAGTTGTCTGTTATACTGTGGGAGTGACCGTGCTAATTGCGGCGGTACAGACGACATCGTCTGGCATCCTCGACCACGAGGAGGCGCGTCGCAAGAACGTCGGTGGCAAGCTGCTGGGCTATGTGTACTAGGGTGTTCTACGACGTCGATGCCTTGGGCATCTCTAAAATGATCATGCATGCTCGATGCTGTGTTTGCGCCATGTATTATTGTCTGCGTGCTGAACGTAGCTGTCTGTATACCAGCTGTACTGTACGACGAGTGCGATGAGGAGAGGTGGCCGGATATGTCTAGCGCGGCAACATGTGATTGTGCCTTCTGTGGCTAGACGCCTTGACGTGGCTGGGTTCGAACACCACGGCCTCTGCACGCGACTTGGTCTGTTCCACCACTCGCCGTCTAGCGTCCCTGCTCGCCGTCCATCTTGTGTACCTCGTCGTCTCCTGCGACAATTCTACCCTCTTACGACCCTACACGCTGTAGCATGATCACCGCTAACGACGCGTTTCAACTCAGTCTGAAGCACGAACCCAGTCGCCTCGGACTCCACTCCTCCTCCAAGCTCTCCTTCCTCTCTGGTTCGCGGCGATCCCAGTCCCCTGTCTCCACGCGCGCATCGTCCTCCGACCGACCATCAATGTCCACTAGACGTTCCGGCGCAGCGTCTGCGTCCCCCGCCCTCAACGGCAACGCAGACGCCCATACCAACGGCCACTCGCCCCAGCAACCGAACGGCCAGGCGCAAACAACAGCTAAGCACGCGCGCAAGGGCTCACGTTCGGCGGCGAAGGGCAAGAAGATTGTCATACAGCGTACCGTCGCGGAGAAGGTCGTCGTCGACTGGGAGATTCCGCGAAAGGCGCTGCATTCGTCGATTGGTGAGTGCGGAATGCGTTTTTTTCTGTTTGATCGACGGGCTGAATGGGCGTTGGTGCGAAGGTGTCTTGACTCTGTATCTCTACTACTCCCATGGCTCGCCGCGGACCGTCGTCGTCGCGCTCGCGAGCGGCCTTGCGTTCATCGTCCCGTGCGATATCCTCCGGCTCCGCTCCGCTAGGTTCGAACGGCTGTTCGAGAGGAGCGTCGGATTCCTCATGCGCGAAAGCGAGAAGGTGCGTCTTGCAACTGTCCGTTCGTGCTCATCGCCACACGTCTTGACGCGTCGCCCCCGCAGAATTCAACGAATGGCGTGATATGGTACATCACCGGCGTCATGTTCGCCCTCGCCGTATACCCTCTCGACATCGCCGTAGTCTCTATCCTCATGTGAGTCGGGAGACCCTCCTTATGCGCGACGCATGGTTTGACACCCACGTAGTTTGTCCTGGGCTGATACCGCCGCGTCTACGATCGGCCGTCTCTTCGGCGCACGCACCCCCAAGCTCCCCGCCCGCCTCCCGCTCCTCCGCCTCCCCCTCGCGCCCCGCAAGTCCGTTGCTGGATTCATCGCAGCCGTCGTCACCGGTGCGGCCATCGCGATCGGCTTCTGGGGCTGGGTCGTCCCCCAGGTGGGTGAGCCGAGCAGCTGGCAATGGCCGGTGGTCGCGCCGACGACCGGGAATCCGAGTATCCTTGGTGCAGCGGGGGCATGGTTGGGCCTCGGCGTGTTGGGCGTTGTCGCTGGGCTTATTTCAGGCATTACGGAAGCTCTCGGTGCGTCGCGTGCAGCCTTTGTTTGGTGATAACACTCATCCACAGTTCGCTGTGCAGATCTTGGAAATCTGGACGACAACCTTACACTGCCTATCATCTCCGGTGGATGCCTCTGGGGATTTTTCAAACTCGTAGAGGCGTGGAGCGCCTGAACTCACAGTACATGGTATTTATGCCTGCCCTGTAGAACTACCATACGACTTGTGCCCCGGGTACTAGTGTAGTATAATGCTTTGTAGATGCCTTCGAGACATTCGTCTCCTTTACCCCTTTGTTCATTAGTGCAGGATGCTTCGTTGGACGACATTCGGTTCCGTCTGCATCTGCCACTTGCAAGAGCAAGGTTCTGAGGTCGAACTCGACAGCGGTGAGTGTCTTCCCGTTCTGCATGCTGTTAGTGTGATCACGACTCGGCTCCCTGCTCTGCGGTCGCTTCTGTATCCTGGAGTACGCGTGGGTGGGTTTTGTCCTGTGGTGAGTCCTTATTTTCTCTGGCTGTTCGAGATGACCGCGCTGGCAGTGAGTCGGTGCGCTGGGCGCCACACAGAAGCCTTTGCTCGCGGTGCACATAAGGAGCCAAGCTCTCGAACAAGGGTCGTGCTAGCATTCTCAATAACGCGTGCTCGCAGACACCGTCAGCGTTGCCCTCGGCCCCAAGGGCACATAGGCTCTCCAGCTGGCCGCAACTGACATGTTCGCTGTCTCTGTAGGTTGCAACATCGTCATCGAGTGATTATTCGGAGGCCCGAAAATCACAAAGGGTATGTGGACTTATTCCGCCTCTATTATAGGGGCTTTTTGACCAATCCTTAGGGTGAGGATGGGGTGAGGATGGGTGAGGAAGGCATTTTCACGTTCTGAGCATTAAACGTCTCACCCTCGCAGCATGAATCTCAGCGTGCATAACCCGTGTTCGCGCCATGGCGCGACTGCGGATGCGAGGTACTCTTACCCGGTTCGCGCCATGACGCGAACACGGGTAACATGCAGTCTCCATTTGAGTCTGCGACTGCCTTCTGCCAGTCACCCTTACCCGCAATCGCGCTATGGCGCGATTGCGGATGAGTCCGCACATCCATTGCCTTGTTTGGCAAGTCCGAGCGCCCGCCCGATCTCACAGGCACCCACCGACTTGCTCGTGTGCCACAGAGGGCATGCATCTGTGGTGTACCACATCATCCATTACACCCTCCGCATGCGGCGTCCATTCCGTGTTGTGCGTCAGTGATGTGCAGTGACAGGGAGGCGAGATCACGTCAGCCACCTGCTCAGCCACCGACGGGCGCTCACACGATCTCCTGCCCACAACCACGATCTCCCGCCTCTCCTGCCTCCTGCCTCCCTCTCTTTTACATCCAGCAAGCCCACCACGCCCTGGGGTGATGTGCGTACCTGCGCATGAAGACAGCCGACACGGAGATTGTGTGCGCGTAAGGTACGTGCACGCAAGATGACCTCTGTGAGTGCGAAACACCGTGGTACGTGGGTTCCTTTTTTATCTCAATCGCAGCCAATGCTTACTGACTTGTAAGCTGGTCGAGGCCGCGCGGTGCAAGCGGTGTGTGAATGACGGGCGAGATGAGTGTAGGGTGCCCTTCGTGAAGACGTGCTGTCACCGCTGTATGAGGAGGAAGGTCAACTGCTCGCTCACGGTAAGTCATGTTGTATTTCTGTCTTTCTCTGTGACGCGCTCACTCGCTACAGGACCAACGAGCCTCTGAGGCGGTTGACTCGCCGCGCGCGTCCCTGGCACCTGTGCTGCAGAATAATTCCGCACCCGACTCTCTACCACGTGCACGCTCGTCATCGCGTTCGCCCGCGCCTTCTCCATCGCATTCGCCCTCGCGTTCTGTCACTCGCTCGACGCCCGCATCGCCGCCCAACGTTGTATCCGACTCATCATCCCCGCTGCCGGCCGGGCGTATCGCATCTGCACAGTCGCACTCGCCCGCTTCTTCTGCAAGCCCATCGACCGTCTCAGTGGCGCAGATGATGGACGTGGATCCTGTGTCGCCAGGAACATCAAGCAGTGTTGACGCCGGTGCTGGGCCTTCTAGCTTTGGAGCCCATCGTGTCGCGAGACGTAAGTGTTCATTCTTTGATTGAGAAACGGAACACTCATGCTGGTACAGGCAAACTCAACAAGCTCGACACCAATGCGATCATCCGCGATGTCAAGCGATCATCGGATCTCCCTATGGCCGAACGATTGAACATCCATCAGGGGGTGATCGCGCGGCTCATCAACGAGGTCGCCAGATTGCGGGGTGCCCTTCAGGCGACGAAGAAGAAACGTGCTCGGTATGGGGGTGATGAAGATGATTGAGTAGGAAGGTCGGGATAGTGTATCGCATCGTGCATGTATGTAAACCACATGTACTACCACTTCTGGAGCATGCTCGACATATGTCTGTTCAATCTGACCACCGAACTATGCACTCGATCGACGATCTGAGACGTGCAAATAATTAATTAACACACATGCTACCCGCACTCGCGCCGTAGCGCGAATGCAGGTACAAATCTGCGGCAGCTCGACGGATTTTGATGGTTCCAAACGGCAGGTACGATCACGTCAATTCATTCATTTTAGCGAGCGATACTACGACCTCCCACAGTCAACAAATACATTTACAGTAGTTACGCGCAGTGTCACGAGTGAATCGATCTACCCGCGTTCGCGCCACGGCGCGAACGCGGGTAACAACAATGTGAAGGGATGCGATGGTGTTACCCGCGTTCGCGCCGTGGCGCGAGTGCGGGTAGTTGCACCGTTTTCAATACAAGTCACTTCCGCATCTTCCTGACGTCCTTCGAGAGCTTCGCGAGGCGGGACTCGAGCGTCGCGGCGCGCTGGTTACTGTCCTCAAGGTCGCTCTCGAGCTTTGCGACCTTGCGCTCGAGAATAGCGACCCTGCGCTCCGCCGCCTCTACCTTGTTGGCGGCGTAATGCGCATTATAGTGACCTACAGTAAACATGGGGGGGGTTGTGGTGGGGTTGTGTTGCCCGATATAGGAATTACTATATATGGGCATAACCATATAAGGCAAGTGGTGACATTTCTCCACTGTGTGAGTAGTACATATGCACCAAAAGATGCCTCATAGGAGGGCGCGCGCGATCGCGCGCGCCCTCCTAAAATGTATGCTGGATGTGTCATGACAAGGTACATTAAGGAGGACGCACGCGACCATGCGCGACCTCCTAAACACGTATATTATGGAGATGGCATACATACCAATTAGGAGGGCGCGCGCGATCGCGCGCGCCCTCCTAATCGTACCTATATCAGCGTCTATTTCAGTGTGCATACACAGCACATGTCCAATCAAAATGTGTCTTATAGGAGGGCGCGCGCGACCGCGCGCGACCTCCTAAACACAGATATTCTGGACATGTATGGGATGGTGCGTGCACCCATGATCCATGGTATAGGAGGGCGTGCGCGATCGCGCGCGCCCTCCTACATGGCATGTGTACCGGCGTCTATTCTGCCAACGTATACGGTGTGTGTGCATATATATCTGCTAAATAGGAGGGCGCGCGCGATCGCGCGCGCCCTCCTACCGAGGTGTATTTGGGCATGCATAGCATGGTGCGCGCACCCCTGATGCATGTCAAAGGAGGACGTGCGCGACCGCGTGCGCCCTCCTTGTCACGTGCCATAATATTCCACACATGTGACTCATCTGTTTGCATGATGGTGTGATCAGTCCCTTCCCTTTGATCCACAGACCATCTGTGTGCGCCAGGTACGTTCTTGCTCTCACCATGTCCCCTACCACAGCACTCAGCGCTGGCCAGTCACCATGGACCGTCCAGCATGGTCTGACCGGATTCGTGTCGTCCTCGAAGCTGCTGTGCTCGTCCGGCTGATCCACAAACACACGGAGCAATTCGTGCAATCGCACGTTCCCGTCGGTCCCGCATACGTCCCGCTCACCATCTACGAGATCTACCAAAAATGGCACGAGCACATGAAGGAGTGGCTCCGCATCATATGCGTCCGTACAATCACCGACCCGCAACCCCTCAACATGCTCTATGTACGCTCAGAGATCGATCGACTCGAAGCGGTCATGATCGCATTGGCCAACTTCATCACCCCCTTGTACAGGCACTGGAGCACCCCCAGATTGCCCGAATCATTGCGCATCCACACTCATGATCGTGATGAATGGACGCACATCGCGCGGTCCACTATCAGTCTCATGTGCTTGGTGAGGGAGACTGTTGATTACTGGCACAGTATGTTCTCTGCATCACAATTAGTCTATTCAGCATACTGACTCATCACACAGAAATACTGGACAAGAATTATGGCATGTACCACACCTTTATTACATCGGTAGCTACTCACCCTCCATTGCTACAGTCGATGCAGGCATACTCTGGCAGGATCCACCCATCAAGCGGATCCTGTACAACCATCATGCCAAACACGCCATTGACCTCGATACCGCCGCGCAAGAGCGCAACACACTTGTTGGCTCATCAGGAAAAACCCACTTGGCTTGGCAAGATTGGGTGAAGCTTTACAAGATAAGTCGAACATATATGAGGCCATGTAAGACCTATCCTACTTGGGCATGTACAACTCCAGCTTGCTGCACTTGTAAAAGCCTTGTAGACTTGAATAAATGTAGATTAATGTCTGTGGTGCCTGTTCAAAAGACGTTGTAATTTCTTGTCATCCCAAGAATACTTTCCAAGAGACTTCATTTGTATTCAAAGCTTCAATACAAGCTGTTGCTCATTGTTCTCAGTTCTGCATTGAAGTGACATGACAACAATGACACAATTGTATTCATTGAACTGTAGTATACTGTATACTTTTAAATGGTTCGTCACCCAAGTGTGACTGTGACCGGCCTGACGAAAATTTGTATTCGTCAAATTACCCGATTAGGTATACTACCTACCTGATTGGCGCGTAGCGCGCGCCGCAGTCTACGCCGTCTCAAGCCTGTGACGCGTTATTCACCGATTTCGTTCGTCGGGCGCTGTGACACGTGACGACGAATCATTTAAAGTATACAGTATACTTTGCAATTGTATCTACTGTATGCTCTGAATCGTAGTACTAGGGAGTGTACATTCACCTATATAATGGAGAACATGCATAGGAACATGCGTAACAAGGTAGGAGACAATGCACAAATGGAAATGAGAACAAGAAGATCAATGCAAGAGCAGAGCGACAAAGAAGAGAAACGCGCCACGAACCGGATGCGCCACCAAGGCCACCGTGCGTTGACGAGGTCCTATGCGATAGCACGGTGTCCGATATAATGAGCAACGACGGGCGCACGACGATCTACCACACGCACGGCGTCGGGTGGGCGTACCAGTCCTAGCCCTTCGCCTTCTGCGTCCCCGAGGCGCGGTCATCGGATATAAAGGGCGAGCCCTCGACCGGCCCGTTTGCTTCAGCATCGGCGGCGAGGGACTCTTGCTCAATGACGTGGGGCGTCCCGTGGGTGCTGTGCGAGGCGATGCGGATGTTCGCGTCGACGAAACCCGGTGGCGTCGACGGCGATGCGGACGATGCGGGGCTCGTCTAAGTCGAGTACGACTGTTCAGGCGTGTCGGGCGTGTCGGGGCTCGTGGGCGGACTTGGGTACGCCGTGTACGCCGTGCTGGCGTCGACGGGCATGGGAGTGGGCTTCGGTGGCGACGTCGAAGGACGCGCGGCGGGCGAAGTTCCGGGTGGTGGTCGACGTCGTGGCGCCGTATGGCGTCGTCGACGGTACTGGTGTCGGTGCAGGCTATTGGAGCACGTACGTGGGGTATGGCCCTTGGCCTTGAAGTCCCTCCGCACCTTCGCCTCGAATTCCTTCAGCGCTGTCGGTCCCTGGCCGACGATGCTTCATGATCATGACTTGTTAGAGTAGGTGTCGTCAAAGATGACCTGGAACGCGCCCGATGATCCGCCGACGATCCGCAGCGGGAACGCTGTTAGGCATTGGAGGAGGTAGAGGGCTGCGAACGTCACCGAGGTGTGCAGTCGCATTCTATGGAGGGTGTGGGCGAGAAACAAAGCGAGAGGCGCCTGTCGTCGCAGGACAGGCTACCACACGCACGGCGTCGAGTGGGCGTACCAGTCCTGGCCCTTCGCCTTCGCCGAGGCGCGGTCGGTCGATATGGCGTCGGATATTGAGGGCGAGCCCTTCGCAGGAAAAGAGTCGAACGTGTTAGACCTCGACAGCGACCGGCCCATTTGCTTCTGCATCGGCGGCGGCACAACGGCGGCGACGGACTCCTGCTCGATGGGGTGGGGCGTCCCGTGGGTGCTTTGCGAGGCGATGCGGATGTTCGCGTCGACGAAACCTGGTGGCGTCGACGGCGATGCGGACGATGCGGGGCTCGTCGAAGTCGAGTACGACTGTTCAGGCGTGTCGGGCGTGTCGGGGCTCGTGGGCGGACTTGGGTACGCCGTGTACGCCGTGCTGGCGTCGACGGGCATGGGGGTGGGCTTCGGTGGCGACGTCGACGGACGCGCGGCAAAGCTCGGCGTGGTGGTCGACGTGGCGCCGTATGACGTCGTTGACAGTACTGGTGTCGGCGCAGGCGAGGGGAGCACGTACGTTGGGTATGGCCCGTGGCCCTTGAAGTCCCTCCGCACCTTCGCCTCGAACTCCTTCAGCGCTGCTGGCTTGATGTTGAGTTGCCACTCGAGGTAGGAGCACATCTCCCGCTCCATCTGGTTGATTTCGCGGAGGGCAAACATGCCTTGTCTGACGATGCTCCACGACTTGTTGGAATAGGTGTCGTCGCAGATGACTTTCGACGCGATCATGAAGGCGGAGATGAAGAGACGGTGGCCCGACGATCCGCAGGCGGCGGGGAACCGCGCTTTTAGACGTTGGAGGAGGTAGAGGGCGGCGAAGGTCACCGAAGTGTGCAGTCGCGTTCTATGGAGGGCGTAGGCGATAAACAATGCGAGCGGCGGCGACAGTGCTGGCGGATTGGTGGTGGATAACGAAGGGAGGTCGGGGCACGCAAACAAATGCGTCACGAACCTCGCGCAGAGCTTGGCCGTCTCTTCGTGGCCGTAGTACGAGTCAGGCTGGAGGAATATTGTTAGCGTTCAGTTGCTACGTCAGAATGGGTACTCACGATGCCATGGTGCGCGCTATGTCCGCTAGTTCCACTAGATGGCGCTGGCGGCGGTCTTGACGAAGTAATCTTGCTCGGCCTCCGAAAAGGCGAGGGGTGGCGGGCGGCAGAGGGACCTGAGACAGCAGCCATGATGGGATAGTAACAGAGCGTCGAGACAGAGCCACCGAGTGGGCGACAAATGGTGGCGGCGGAGGGAGACTGGAGGGGATATAAGTCAGCACGCTCCGGGTATGGCGACGCAGAAGCCTTGGAAGGGGCCAAGCAAGCGAGGGAGCGGGGACAAGAGGGGCGCATGCGAGGCACGCGAGAGGGGCCATGGGTGAGAGTATGCGAATGTGTGAGTGGGCAAGAGGGCAGGTAGGTAAGCAGAAAAGCGGCGGGCCGGCCAGCAAGCGATAGGGCAACGGCAAGCAGGCGGGAATACGAGGCCGGGCTGGCGGGTGAGCAGCGCGGGTGGGCTGGCAAGTGATTGGATGCGTGGATGAGGAAGCAAGCAAGTGGATGCGCAGGTGGATGCGCAGATGGACGCGCGGGCGATTGGACACGCAATCAGGCGGAGGCACAAGTGGGCGGACGCGCAAAATAGATGGAGAGTAGTTGAGCAGGTAGACGTACATAGGCGGCCAGACTAGAAAGTGAGCAGACGGTCGAGTGAGCAGGATATCGATTGAGCAGGCGGTCGAGTGAGTATGATAGCATGCGAGTGTTTGCGTAGTACAGACAGAAGCACTAGGCTGAGTGATACGTCTGCTCGCCGGCGCACTGACGAAAAGGATGTGGGTCAATAGTTCCAACAAGGACGTCCCTGGTGACATACTTACGATCCCTCAATGCCTCGCTTTCCCTTGCCATGGCTTGCCTCATCGCCGTTGCCCTGCCCTAGCATTCCTGTCCCGTACTTATCGTGTTTGAGGTGACCTTGCCATTCGGTACGTATTGGATGCCGTGAGATGCGATGCGGTCGGGCAGTCAAGTTGGCTAATGGTGAGCCAGAGCTGCGCTGAGGACGTGAGCAGTGCGTTGGGAAAGTCAGAAGCGGGCGTCTATAACTTGCATCTGCGCTCGTGCAACGTCCGCTTTCTCGCCCATTCCTTTTCTTGCGACCTCATTGGTATGTATAGTAGACTTGTGAAATAGATAATGATTGAAACAGTAGACTACGGTGTGAAGTACCAGTACATTTAAGTCTACCATAATGTCTGGTAAGCGTATTTAGTACCCCAGTTGTTCAAGAGGAACTTAGTAGCCTTGTCCAGTACAGTATTCGACGTCCAGTCTTGCGGTACTTGAGCAGGTAAATCTACGGACAAGGGCTTAGGGAATTTGGGGATCAACTGACACGACTGACGAATCAGTCTTAACGGTACTATATCGCCCGCTGTCGTCCCATCCACTCTCAACGGCATCTTCTGGACGTCGTACATCATATGTATCGGGTCTGCCGATGCGGGGAGCTTCGCGTACCACTCGATGTACGCCAATGGACCTGAGTGAGCCCATTCTTCCGGTGCAGGCATATCCGCCATCATCCCATGCTGACGTATCTTCTGAGGCAAGCGGAAAATGACCTTCACCCGCCCGATTCTGGTACCTAGATTTCCCCGGTCAGTAGCTTGTAAGTGGGTATATATTCTGGACATACCTTGCAGTCCCGTTGCCTCCGCATCATCACCCTGTAAGACCACTACTGTATCGAATCTCGCAGCGTCTGTTCCGCACGCCGGTTTGGCTTTGACAGCGTCGCGTTCGATTTGAGTGTCGGTAAGGGGGATCGTCGTGAACTTGAAGTTATAGAAGACGTCCAGACGCGAGAAAGGTAGGTACGTGCTTGCCATGTCAAGCTCCGTCAGGGTAAGTCGACGGCCGAGTTTGAGTGAGTAGATATATTGGTTCAAGGCTTTGGTGAACCCGCGAGCGTTGTGTTTGTCGGCGATCGACTGAATCGGTTGCTGGACGACGGACGGATGCTTGGGCATCATGACGCCAGTTCTGGGACGATGAGGGTGAGGTTCTGGAGGGATGCTAGAGTTGTCGGTGTTGCAGGAGTCCTCTCGAAGCCTCTGGCGAAGCGCCTCGAACATAGCGATTTTTCCTGGCGGTCCAACCACTTGACCATCTGAGGTCGTGCGTCGCGATGGTTGGATGCTCGCCACGCTTTTTTCGCGCAGTCGATGTGCAAGCGTTCGAACATCTCGGTATTATAGGGGATTTTCGACCAATATTCGGGGTCAGGGAGGGGTCAGGGGCAGATTTCCACAAAAAACTGGACCTCTGCGCATGGAGAACACCCATCAATTTCCCATTTCCCTACCCGCACTCGCGCTACGTGCGCCATTGCGGGTAAACGACCACTGTCCGAGACTGTTACCCGCACTCGCGCTACAGCGCAGATGCGGGTGAATAGAGGGA